CCTGATCCAGCTGGGGGCCCCTCAGCCTTTGGTTCATAGTTCATGTGTTTCCATTCATTTGGCTATTTTTTTTTCAATAATTGAGTAAAACCGAAATTGATTATAAGCCACAGTCGTCCTAGGGACCTCCATGCTATATATATATATATATATATATATATCCTCCATGGTTCTATGGGTTGTGGTCTGATGACATTTGCAATTCTTAACATCTGTGCACCAAACACAAGGAAACCCAAGTTCATAAAAGAAACACTACTACAGCTCAAGTCACATGCACTTGACTCTCATGCACTGACAGTGGGAGACATCAGTACCCCACTCTCACTGATAGACAGGTCATCAAGACAAAAACTAAACAGAGAAATGCTGGAGCTAACTGACATTATAAACCAAATGGACCTAACAGATATTTACAGAATATTTCACTGAAACACCAAAGAATGTACCTTCTTCTCAGCACCTCATGGAACTTTCTCCAAAATTGACCACGTACTCAGACACAAAGGAAGTCTCAATAGATATGAGAAAATTGAAATAACACCCTGCTTCCTATCTGACCCCATGGATTAAAGCTGGATGTCAACAACAACAGAAAGTTTGCAAACTCATGGAAACTGAACAACCCACTACTGGATGAAAAATGGATCAAGACAGAAATTAGGAAAAAATCAATGTGCTGGATAGTTTTATGTCAACTGACACAGCTAAAGTCATCTGAAAGGAGAGAACCTCAATTGAGCAAATGCCTCCATAAGATCTGGCTGTAAGACATTTTCTTAATTAGAGATCGATGGGCTCAGCCCACTGTGGATAGAGGCATCCCTAGGAGAGTGGTTCTGGGTTCTGTAAGAAAGCAGGCTGAGCAAGCCATGATGAGTAAGCCAGTAAGCAGCACCCCTCCATGGCCTCTGCATCAGCTCCTGCCTCCAGGTTCTGCCCTGTTTGAGTTGTTGCCTTGACTACCTTCAATGATGAAGAGTGCTATGGAAATGTAAGTCAAATAAACCCTTCCTCCCCAAGTTGCTTGGGCCATGGTGTTTCATCACAGCATTAGTAACCCTAAGGCAACTAGAGACTTTCTAGAAGCGAATGAAAATCAATACACAACATTCCCAAAATTACGGGACACAATGAAGGCAGTTCTAAGAGGCAAGTTCATAGCATTAAGTGCCTACATTAAAAAAATAATTGGAGAGATCTCCTACTAGCAATTTAACAGCACACCTGAAAACTCTAGAACAAGAAGAAATCACATCCCAAAGGAGAAGACAACATGAAATAATCAAATTCATGGCCAAAATCAATAAAACAGAAATAAAAACAACACAAACAATCAATGAATCAAACAGTTGGTTCTTTGAGAAAAACAATAAGCCCAACAATGAAAGAAAATTACAGACCAGCTTCCCTCATGAACATAGATGTGAAAATTCTCAATGAAATACTTGCAAACTAAATCCAAGAACACATCAAAAAGATCACCCACCATGATCAAGTAGGCTTCATCCCAGAGATGCAGGGATAGTTAAACATACATAAATTGATAAATGTAATCCACCATATAAACAAACTCAAAGACAAAAACCACATGATCATTTCATTAGATGCAGAAAAGGCCTTTGACAAAATCCAACACTCCCTGATTATAAAAGTCCTGGAGAGCTTAGGTACACTAAGGGCGTACATCAACAAAGGCAGCCTACAGCAGGCCCAGAGACAACATCAACTCGAATGGAGAGAAACTTAAAGCAATTCCACCAAATCAGGAATAAGACAGGGTTGTCCACGCTCTCCATATCTATTCAATATAGTACTTGAAGTCTTAGCTAGAGCAATAAGACAACTAAAAGAGACCAAGGGATACAAATAGGAAAGGAAGAAGTCAAAACATCTTTATTTGCAGATGATATGATATCATAAGTGATCCTAAAAATTCCACTGGGAAGCTCCTACAGCTGATAAACTCTTTTAGCAAAGTGTCTGGATACAAAATTAACTCACAAAAATCAATAGTCCTCCTATATACAAAGGACAAACAGACTGAGAAAGAAATCAAGGAATCAACACCTTTCACCATAGCCTCAAATAATATAAAATATCTTGGTGTAACTCTAATCAAGCAAGGGAAATACTGGTATGACAAAAATTTCTAGTCATTAAAGAAAGACACTGAAGAAAATATCAGAAGATGGAAAGATCTCCCATACTCATGGATAGGTAAGATTAATACAGTAAAAATAGTCATTCTACCAAAAGCAATCTACAGATTCAATGCAATCCCCATCAAAATTCTAACACAATTCTTCATAGATCTTGAAAGAACAACTTTCAGCTTAATATGGGAACAGAAAAAACCAGGATAGCTAAAACAATCCTGAATAATAAAAGAACTGCTGAAGGTATCACTATCCCTGATTCCAAGTTGTATTATAGAGCTATAATAATAAAAACAGCATGTTGATCAATGGAATTGCATTAAAGGCCTAGACATAAATCCACACATCTATGGACACCTGATTTTTGATAAAGTAGCCAGAAAAAAAAAAAACAGACAAACTGGAAAAAAGACAGTATCTTTTACAAATGCTGCTGGTCAAACTGGATGGTTGCATGTAGAAGAATCCAAATAGATCCATACTTATCACCCTGCACAAAACTCAACTCCAAGTGGATCAAAGACTACAACATAAAATCAGATACACTGAAGCTGATAGAAGAGAAAGCAGGAGCCAGGCAGTGGTAGCAAACGCCTTTAATCCCAGCACTTGAGAGGCAGAGGCAGGTGGATTTCTGAGTTCGAGGCCAGCCTAATCTATAGAGAAGTTCCAGGACAGCCAGGGGCTACATAGAGAAATCCTGTCTCTGGGGAGGGGGAGAGAAAAGAAAAAAAGAAATAGGAAGAAATAAATAAAAAGAAAAGAAAGTAGGAATAGCCTTGAACTCATTAGCACAGAAAAAGACTTTCTGATCAGGCCCCTTTTAGCACAGAGATAAGATCAACAATTAATAAATGAGACCTCATAAAACTGAGAAGCTTCTGTATGGGAAAGGACACTGTTATTTAGGCAAAGCAGCAGCCTACAGAATGGGAAAATATCTTTACCAACTACACATCTGATAGAGGGCTAATATCCAAAATATAAACAACTAAAAAAACTAGACATAAAAAACCCAAATAATCCAATTAAAGTATGGGGTACAGAATTAAACAGAATTCTCAAATGAAGAAACTCAAATGGCTGGAAATAAAGAAATGTTCAACATCCTTAGCCTTCAGGGAAATGCAAATCAAAACTACTTTGAGATTTCATCTTAACCCAGTCAGAATGGCTAAGATCAATAAAACAAGTGGCAGCTCATACTGGCAAGGATATGGAGTAAGGGGAACACTTATCCGTGTTGGTGAGAGGCCAGCTTGTACAGCCACTACAGAAATCAGTGTGGTGGTTCCTCAGGAAGAAAGGACACTTCATCCTACCACAAGGACACTTGCTCAACCATGTTCATTGATACTCTATTCATAATATCCAGAAACCAGAAACAACCATAGAACCACGGAGTGTAGGTATGGAGTAAGGGACTAAGTGTGATTGATGTCCCTAGGAAAGGGAAATAGAATAGATAGTTATGGATCGTGGGGTGGGCGACTGGAATGGGAGGATCAAGTGGTGAGGGGGACAGGGGAAGGGAAACAAGGGGAGAGACAGCAAAAATTAAGGCCCATTTGAGGGGTAGTATGGAAACCTAATTATGAAGGCAATCTAAATGACATTGCCAAATAATGGAGAGCCAGAGTCCCAACTGGCCATCTCTTGTCACCAAATAAAGCTTTGAGTATTGGGATTGGATTACATCTAATTGAGTTGTTGGCCAAAGGAGTTCAACTCAGGATGTTGCCAAGACTATAGGTTGCTCTTCACAAACTGATGGCAAGCCCCCATTGCTGAAGATAACACCTACACAACTCATTGAACATGGAAAAGTCAAGTTGGTGCCTACATAAAGCTTTCTCTCTTACATTCTAGTAGCTTTGATACAGGAAGGTACTTCGAATGCTACTAGAAGAGAAACATAAACTCCAAGTCAGCCATAAGCCCTTTGATCTATGTTATCTACCTGTAAAATATACTAGGGCAATAGTGGCACAAAGCCTGTGGGAGTAACCAACCAATATCTGATTTGACTTAAGGCCTGCTCTACGAGATAGAACCCATACCTGACATTGCTTGGGTGAGCAAGAACCAGAAACTAGATAGCCCAGGGACCTAAGGTAAAACCAAATACTACTGGTCTTAAAAAAATGTAGTGATGAAATGACTCCTAATGATATTCTGTTAAACTTATAGATCAGTGCCTTGCTCAGCCACCAGAGAAGCTTCCTTTGGCAGCAGATGAGAACAAATACAGAGACCTACAGATAGACATTATTCGAGAGTGAAAGACCTTCGAACACTCAGCCCTAAATGGGATGTGTACACCAAATCCCTCCCCTCAGGGCTCAGAGAACCCCTTAGAAGAGGAGGTGGAAAGAGTGTAGGAGCCAGAGGGGATGCACCAAGAAAACAAGGCCCTCTAAACCAACATGATCAAAGCTCACATGAACTCACAGAGGCTGAGGCAGCACACACAGGGCCTGCACAGGTCTGTCCCAGGTCCTCTGCATACACATTATGGCCTCCATTTTAGTGATTTTTTTGGGGATTCCTGAGTGTATGAACAAGTGGGTCTCTGATTCTTTTTTGTTTGTTTGTTGTCCAACTCTGATGTGGCAGTTTTTGTTTTATCTTATTATATTTTATTTTGTTGTTATCCCTTAGGAAAAAAGCACGTTTTCTTTTCTAATGAGAGACAAAAGGGAGTAGATCTGGATGGGAGGGGAAGCAGGGAGGAAGAGGGAGGAATAGGGGGCAGGGAAAATGTAATCAGGATGTATTATATGAGAATAATTTATTTTCAATAAAAGGGGGAAAGGAGAAAAATAAAGGTGGAGAGTGATAGAGAAAGATGCGCAATGGTGACCTCCACCCTGCCCCATACACATGCACACACAGGCACAAACAAACATGCACAAATACCACACACACACAGAGAAAGAAGCAAATCACAGAGCAGATGCATGTTTCTGCCTTTGAAACTGGATGTTCTACTGAAAGCCGCCTCCCCATGCAGCCACTCAAAATGTTTATTTTCAGCTTCCATAAAAATTCAGTTAAGAAACTGATACAGAGCCATCAATACATAATGTAAATATTGTGGATTGTTGGAACATGGAGAAATGAGTATGGAAAGAACACTAGAATCTGGAGTTCACAGTCCTAGGTAACAGCTTCAGTGTTTTAATATAAATTATGTGAGTCTGAATTTTTAGTTGTAAACATCAAAACCCAATTTTGGCAGTAGTAAGGAAAATATTTCATTAAAAAGATAAAAGGAATCTCAGGATCACCAGAGAATCGGGTTTCCTGGGAGACCGGGCAGCTGGAACATCTGTTTGTCTGTTGACCGTTAGGTGCCACCACTTACTCAGGGATGCAAGCTCACAGCCTTCACGGCACCCGATGATGCTCTACATCAAGTTGCTGCCAGGGTTCCAGAGATGTTGTTATGTAGCATGTGGGGCTCAGTTCTGTAGGGGGAATATTTATTTGTAAAATTAGAATTACATGGAAAGACAAAGTATCTAGAGTCTTCACTTGCCTAACAAAACACATGGTTTTCTTCTCCACAAGCTCATCGGTGATGAACCCCCACACGCAGGAAGAAAGTTGAGATCTGCAGATGGCCAAAAAAGATGGCAGCTGTTGTGTGTTTGGACAAGTGACTCTGCCTGAGTCTAATCTTCCCATAAAGAAAGGTTCAGATGGCGGAGGAGACTGCATATTCACTTATCCATGTGCCACAAATACGAAGTACGTGCCAGGCTGCAGAGATGAGCAGGCCCACTCCAGTCAAATGAAGGAGAAGGGTCACCCGACAGAAGGGGAAACACTGTGCACATGGTGGGATGGAAGGCTGTCCTAGAGAGCGCAGGGCAGGAAAACAGGAGTGGCCAACGCCTGATAAAGGCTGCTCTCGTGCGCCAACACACATGCAGCCAAATCACCCCCCCCACACACACACATACACAATAAAACAAATAAATCTCAACGAAAACACCACTGTCTTGACATGTAAAACCCCTCATGTGGCATGTGACACCAGTAGCATTAATGGAGGGGACAGACAGCATGCTGTGGTAGACAGACAGCAGACAGACAGCACGCTGTGGTAGACAGCCACCAGACAGCACGCTGTGGTAGACAGACAGCATGCTGTGGTAGACAGACAGCACGCTGTGGTAGACAGCCACCAGACAGACAGCATGCTGTGGTAGACAGCCACCAGACAGACAGCATGCTGTGGTAGACAGACAGCATGCTGTGGTAGACAGACAGCATGCTGTGGTAGACAGCCACCAGACAGACAGCACGCTGTGGTAGACAGACAGACAGCACGCTGTGGTAGACAGCCACCAGACAG